ATAAAACATTTATTAACACCCTGTAAACAGGATATTCAGAAATTATGGCGCTAAAATAAAAGAACATATAGAATTCACTAAATTGAGTAGAAAAAACGTTTGTGAATGTGACTCAAAAATTCAAGGATGTTCGAGATGAAAATCGATTTTCTGTTAACGCAAAATACATTTAACGACCAACTGGAAACACCGAATTATGGCGAAAAATACATTGTGGAACAAATTTTAACCTATTTTGCTTTTTACAATAACCACTAGGTGATTCTTATAGAGTTTCTTACCCTAAATAGGAATCCGAAAACCAAATTTCTGGGTCACGTCCAGTTTTCGAAAAAACTGGGTTTTTATAAAAACGGTCGAATTTTTCAGAAAATCAAGTGTTACGGAAAAACTAAAAACGATAGGCAGCTAAAAGTTATCGTAAAAAATAAGGGAGAGTTACCCGAATATGTAGCTATAAAAATGTTGAATATTGCCTACCATTAACTGCTTGTAAATGATGATCAAAATTTTAAAAAGGGTAGATACGCGTACTTTGTATGCACTTCTGTTCTATTTCTACAAAAAGTGGATTGGCTAGCACGAATTTGCTATTCACTATTGGATTCTACAGACAAACCGTAGAAACGGTTGTCCTTTCGGACAGATTAAGAAAATCTCCATGACCGGGGTCCAGGTCTATAAAGCGCGTGGCTAGCCGTGGCCGGCGAGCAATGGCCGTGTGACGACAAAGCTCTGTGCACGCGCTCTTGATAGAGATTTTCTTAGCCTGTCCGAAAGGAAAACTGTTTTCGCGGTTTGTCTACAGAATTCAATGGTGCATAGCAAATTCGTACTAGTCAATCCATCTTTCGTAGAAATAGAACAGTAGTCCGTACAAAGTACGCGTATACACCCTTTTTTAAACTTTGATCATCATTTACAAGCAGTTAATGATACGTCATATTCAAAATTTTTATAACTACATATTCGGGAAAGTCTCCCTTATCTTTTACAATAACTTTTAACTGCCTATCATTTTTAGTTTTCATGTAACACTTGGTTCTCTAAAAAATTCGATTGTTTTTACAAAAACTCAGTTTTTTCGAAAACTGGATGTGACTCAGCAATTTGGTTTTCGGTTTCACATTTAGAGTAAGGAACTCTACAAAGATCACCTAGTGACTATTACGAAACAAAAATCGTGTTGAACAGTGTTATCACAGGTAAGATCTCACCACGTGTAAATTACGTTGTTGTATTATTTTAGAAAATAGTAACTCGTAACACTAATGTTTTAAGTGTCAATTCAAATTGGCAGTAACACACTAACGTTATAAAAAAAAGTCTATTTTCTTCATATATCTTGCTATAAACGTAACGATGGTAGCATAAATGCATTTTCCTTGGATAGTAGCTTCTAAAGGTTAATATATCGTAAGATTTAACACAATGCAAGCCAAAATTGATAGACTTATTTTTGTCAAAGGAAATCCTTTGTATAGCGTCATAACAGACTATACCGGTATCATGCAATATTCTGAGGGCATCTAGTGTACTCGCCATCGAGCAGCTCACAAGAAAACACATCTTTCACAGCTAGTCGATCCATCATCAATTTATACACGTAATGTCCTTAATTTTCCGTCCAATTGTCTTCTCGTCTAAAGCTAAGTGTACAAGATAGCCTTAGTAACAAATCCACTGGAAAATCGAGAGCTAAACGCTCGCCTGTTTTCCTCCTTTTTCACCCCTCCCTTTCTTCTTCATTTCCAAGTTCTTACACTATAGCTGCTCGAATACCAATTTTGCATTTCTATTTTGTTTTTGAACCTTTGTGTATTCATTTTACGAACTATTAATATTTTATTGTTATTAAAATCAGGAATGAATTGCTAATTTACAAATAAAGTTCTAATTTACAGACAGCATAAAGAAATGGAATTGCAGTTGAATCACTTATAAAAGAGAGGAATCAGTTTAATAACACGAGTAAAAGTACAGATATTCAAATACAAGATCTCGACATATATTGTCAAGAACATTCTCTCGTTATTCCTTACAAACTTTTTAATTGTTACGAAGAAAAAATAAAAAGCTCTTTATTTCTCGACAAAATTTATATGTAATAATGTTTGGTTATTATTGAACGCACCTTTGTTTTCCTTTAGGTTTATTAAAACATTAATAAAATTTATGGTACATTGAGAAAAGAATTACAAGGGTAAATTCAAGAACATTTTACTTTATTGTTATGGCTAACATATGCTTATATCATCTCTTTTAATAGCCAAGTATTTTAAATAAGAAATTTGTTAAGAGAAATTTTCCCTGGCATATTAAAGAGGCTCTAATTTTAGAAACATTAAGAAGCTTGAAATTTCTTCAACTTTGGCAATTTATATGTTAGTAACCAATCGATATATTTAAAAATTTTAAACGATTTAAATGCAAAGAAGTGTATACAATAAATCTACTGCGTTAGAAAGACGGTGCTGCATTTTTAAAAATTGGATTTTGACTAGCTTTTCATCGAAAGGCGCCAGTATGCGACAATTGGTCAGGGTGGAATTTCCAATCTTTTACGCCATTTACACCATGTCCCCATCACGTAGCTTCTTCTACCCTACCACTTATATTTTTCGTAAACTTCAACCAATCCGCGTATTCACTCTTGCCGGCAGGCCCAACCTCAAGTCTCGTACATCATCAGAACGTCAGTCCGCAGTCAACCATCGAGAATTCTCAATCTTGTATATCTTTATAAATACACACGCTTCAAACACTAGTGCAACTTAGTGAAGTTTTTCAATTTCTATCTAAAATCGACCATGAGAAGATTAAGTCCGCTGACAACTTTCCGGCACGCAATAACTTCTTAAAGAATTATGAATACAAAAAACATAGGATAATTGTAACATTCAACGGGACTAGAAAGTTGCAATTATAACGAGGTAGAATTGAATTCACTCCAAGAAACGACGATTTTAGCATCGTGGACGTAGAAAAAGACAGTGAAGGAAAAAGAATGGCTTAAACTTGAGACCTTTAACTTAAAAATCAAACTTTTTTATTTTTGTCTTTTGATGAACGAAACTGTCACCATCACGTTTATGTTTTTCTGATTAAAATGTCACCAAACACGATAGAATTATGATCATAGTAGCTTGTATAAATAAGCGATTGAAGTTGTGGATATAGGAAAGGACTGTGAATAGAAAAGAAAAAGACGTTGAAATCGTCAAATCTGACAATAGTCGGATCATGTTACATCCTTCAACCGCAATTAGTTGTCGAGCGCTATAGTGTGTTAAAAAGAGCCTGGTGGGAATATGGTGGAGATGATAATGTTACAATTATGAAGAGATCCCCGATGCTGTAATTATGTATATTCTCTGTAAATACCTTGGAGGTTATTCGGCAAAATACCACGAACGTCGAACGAAGTAATCGTCAACTATTCATCGTCGTTATGACGCTTCTCGAAGGCGTATGTTTTTCACAACATAGGAGCACGCCGCGTGCAATTTTGTTTTTAGACGGTCAGTCGTTCCAAGCCGTTTTGTGTGAGCGCTCGAGGCGTTGAGGTTCTTCCCTTACGTGTTCTGTGCAACTGTTAAAATACATAAATATTTTATTATTGTTACCTTACGTTTCATTAACTGTCTACTACAGATAATATAGGGTGTCATGTAACTGGCGATACAACCGGATAGGGACTGATTCTTCGTTAAAAACTAAGTGGAAAATATATAATAAAATGTTATCTTATAAAGCTTTTTTTCGAGAAAATGGACTTTGAATATTCACTGAGTACCCTTGCACTCGATCATGTCTCGTTATTGGATCTCACTGTAGATTATTGTCTCATTTAAAGGTTATGTGGATAAAGATTACTAACGTTGCGAAAATGTTTACTGCACTTATATAATAATCTAAATGGAGATAGTCAATAATAAAAAAATACGCAATCTAAGCTTTGCTTAAATGGAAGCATATTGATTGAATTTTCAACGTTGATTTACTCAAAAGTAAAACTGTGCATTACGAAACGCTATTTTACTTTGTCGACTTATTTTCTCACGCAAAGTAATGTTTGTTTGGTTTACACCATTCGTTTGCGGATAGTTCATATAATTTACTCTGTAGTTTGTTACAGTTTACTTTCATAAAGTAACATTTAAAAATATACTGTTTAACGTATTCATTAAAAAGATTAATATTATATTAATTTAAAAATGTATCACTATCTTAATTTGTCATGTTTATTGTGATTATTTATTTAGTTGAGTATTGAATATTAGACTTTAATTATATGTTCCTCTGTGAATTATAATCGAGTATTCAAACAAAACGAATTATTGCGAAAATCGACTGAAAAAGCTATCATGGTAGAATCAAAATACTAATTAATGTTTTCAAAAAAATACCAACTTTTAAGAGAACTTGTCGATATCAAGAATATAGTAAATATTTATAAATTAACAGTTTCTTCGCGAACAGAATGAAAGAGCGAATTCGTTCAGATTTGTGTTGTCGAAGTCACTGCTGTGATAGCAAGCAAACAATACTTACTGTTAGAGCACGGTGTACACGCGTACCTCCAAATGCACTCTGACCTGGTTTCTAGCTATCACCTTCTCGAAGGACCAGAATGGTTAACCCGCTCACTTAATTGGCTCACCATTCACTTAATAAACTGCACTTGTTTTTCCCCTTTTCTCAACATTTATTTACATCTGAACGTACAGGATCCCTGACTTGTCTTCAGGTTTCTAAAGGGCACTAAGATTGCTAATGGTCTAAGATACTATATTGTTCCGATATTTGCTAACTAACTGCTCGTGTTTGAGCGACTGACTTTGGCGATCTTCGCTCTTGATCGCCAAGTCCCTATTTTCTAAATTGTCCGCTGATTGGTTTCTTCTCATTTGGTAGTCACCAATCAGCGGACCTAACTTAACGCAGACACTCCTCCTTGCGCCCTTAGCGCGCTCACTTGGGGAGGGGTGCCGCGGTGCTCGTGTGAGGGCGAAGACAATGCTGATGGAAATTCGTCCAGGTGGCGGACCTTCGGTATCTTTACCGTTACATGCACGTGTCCAACTATCCTTCGGAATTTCCCTGTTTATGGCACGGCCACGGCTATTGAGGGACGAGAGAAGCGACTTTCTAAAACTCGCATTTTTTAACTCATAAATCGTCTTCTCTCGCCAGGAAGTATATTACACTTTAAAAACACATGCTTACTAAAAACCTAAAAATCCTAAATCTCTAAAATAGCCCTTCACGCACGTCCGTGCCATAAACCGTGTTAGCGACGGTCGCTAACACTTACAAAATCCACCATTTAAAATGATGATATTTAATTTATGTTCTTTATGAAGGTAAAGATCGAACTAACGTGTATGTAAAACGTTAAAATTAAAGCTACCGAACGGGTCAAATTGATCCACTTCAGAATTTTTATTTTGCAAGTATTTAAATTACGAAGGCGTTTTTGAGGAAGATTTTAAATTAAATTTTCATGTTTGTACAGGTACAAAACTAAGAGACCTTTTAAATCGCAAGATACGTATTGTTCTAATTTTTATAAATAATTATAAATAAGTCATTAAATCACTCGGTAGTTTTACTGTTAACGTACGCAATACTAATTGTTTCTTATAGTCCTTATCGAGTACTCTTAATGGCTATCTTCTTTCAAATGTATGCATAATGTCATCGGTTAGACTAAAAAATAAAAAAATAAATAAATATTTAAAATAGAGAGATGTAAAACATAAATATCAATAAATTCTGTACAATGTTTCATCATAATATTGCATGTTATCAAATGAAATTTTGTCACCAATGCACGTACACGTAAAGAAGAAAGATACTGACAACCTAAAAATGAGAAAGTGGAACAGCTAACACGGTTTATTGTCCAGAGTAACGATCTCGAGGATGAACTTTATGTTTTTCGGACATGTGCAATAAGCTAGTGAACACGCCGAAGGCCTGTTGACAATTTATACTGTATCTCCAAGGTCCGTGACACTTTTAATAAACTACATGCACCTAAAGGGTATTGTTTTCCACTTTGTTTGACGGTATATAAACTATCTTACTGTTTTTTATTTCGTAACACGTTGACCGTCACGAGAATTTTGAGTGTTTTATATAATATTACTTATTCTTTTATAATAAAGACAAATGATATTAGAATTAGTTGTAAATAGTTTGGTACCGTAGTTCCTAAGTTATACTGTTATTTAGTTACTTATGTTACTAAACATTTTGACTCAACAGCAATTTTCTTTTTTTATTAGTTATTTTATGTCGCATTAACCCCTTAGGTTATTGACGACATCGGAGGGGGATGGTTTATAGATGGTTGTTCGTCATCATTTTCGAGCAATTTGGAAACACCGATGTTTGCTGACTACTATGCCAATAACCGTGTTAACCCTTTTAGTGCCGAGCAAAAGAATTGTACCTAAGCGAAGAATACTGAACCAATTTGATGTAATTTACTAAGGTTCGAGAAAAAAATCTTCAAAAAAAGTATGAATGATATTTACAAAATGCAACAAGGGACATATTACGAAATCAAGGGAGAATGAATTAATGTCAATATTTGTTGAATGTATTTCAATATTTGTTGAAAATCATACTAATAATATTTACTCAAGATCATTAGGAAAAATGGAAAATCACTTTCCTTTTATAAACAGTATTTGCAGATAAAAAGAATCGTCGTTTGGTTATAATTTGATGTAGAATATGTAGTATAAACCGTAAATACTGAATTTTCAATTATTTGTAACAAATCTGCTGTATCGAATTGCTGTCTTATAGCTCTAGCATATACATAATCTCGGCATTAATCAACGAATATAACAAAAAGTCTCAAAATAAATTTATAAAACGTTATAAATGGTTGAACTCTTCTTCAGAAGCTCTATGTAATATGTTCCACTAATTGAAAAAATTGTTTATGGGTTTGAGACAGAGTTTTCTCGCAATGCAAATAGTAAGGCATCATCGCATACGCATCGATATACAGTATTCTCGCGGTTAGTGTCCGAAAATCGGAACTGCAAGCGGGTATTAATCATGCAGTGGTGTCGATTCCAAGTCGAGATAAGATCCTAGTGAAGCTCTTTTCTTTATCCTGTGTAGAAAAGGATGGTACGGCTGAAAGAACAAGAAATCCGAACTTCAGAATGATCAAAACAAATAAATGAATGAGAGGACATAAGTGCAATGTTAACCTTTTCTATTTTTCACTTTTATTGACTGAAACTTTTATCAATTGAATTGTGAGGTTTTTCTTATTAAAACGAGACTAAACACAATATACTTTGGAACATATTTACATATTTTATAAGCATTTTACAGTGCTTTACGGACGTGAGCCAAGTCGGTCGGTGGCTTAAAAGTGAAGAGAGGTATGGTGAAACGTCCACTCACGATGCTCGACCCGATAGTAGTGGTGGAATTAGCGGAATATAGCGGAATAGCGGAATTATTAACACGTCTTTGTTAGTGGTCGAGCCGTGAGCTGAGGCGGAAATTTAATCTTTATTCATCGAGTACTGCCAAAAAAGATAAAAAGGTTTTTAAAAATTGTACCCAAAGTTAAGTTTAGTCTTATTATCTTTGAAGATTTATATTCTATTTCCAAGGAGAAACAGTTACATTTTTGTGCGCTCGACCAAAGACGTCTATCTAAAGGAGTCCATATCTTCATTGTTTTCATAAATTACCCAATGGAACTTATAAAAAAGTAACACTATTTAATTACGAATTTTAATCTACAATATTCATTGACCGATTATCGTCTACATTTTTCTACCTAAATACAAATCTCAAAGCAAAATTGCTTTTTTACATTAAATTATTTACAAATTTAGTATTTAAAACTATAGAAAATTCTGAAGTTTAAAAGTTACTTGTATGTTGACTACAAAATTTTTACAAATGCTAGTTACAAAAGTAAATTTACAAACTTTCCATGATATATCCCCCTAGAAGATTATAAACATTTAAATATGTTTATGCAATCTTAGAAGCGGGTGACAGACGAATGATTCTTCAATTGACGACTCGGAAACTAGGTATTTGAATCTAAAATATAATCTGTCTACACCGTACGACAGGGCAGACCCTGTTTAAACGAAACCATCGAAGAAAGCTGCGAGAAAGCAGCACGATATCCCAGAGTGATTCCAATAGTTAACGAGCGCTTTCCGTTTTCTTCAGGGTATTTCTTGTTCAGTTTTCTTGCCGTTAAGCACAGATCAATATCAAGTAATTGACATTGAGGATCAATGGCTATTCGTACTATACCTGTATCTTGTGGAACCATTTTATTTTACTACAGAAAAGCAACTATATTGTAAACATACACATATTTATAAATACTTATAATATTATAAAAATGTAAAACATCTTATTTTAGAAGATCATAGAATGATTTGTTATAAGAATCATTTGTATACTCTTTATGGATAACGCGTAATAAATTTTTGAAATCAACAATTTGATTCTTTGTGTACAATTCACAGATTTGAAGGCAGATCAGAAAAACCAAATTCAACATTAAAATGAAATATCTTATAAGGTCGTTTCCAAATCATAACATTTCTAGTAACAACTGTTAACACAGCACAAATTCTGTATTACCAATCAACGTAAAAAATAAAGGAAAATGATATTGGTAATATAAAGATTTGCCGGTCAATCTGCGATTAACAGTAAAGGCGGTAACTAACAATATAAACTTTACAAAAAATGATTGATTTTCATGAATATTTTTTGTAACAATAGTTCGACTAACCCGTTCAGTATTTTTACACCTGATTTAGTTACTTTTTTGTAATGCCTAATAAATTAAGTAATTAATACTATATAAAATATACATATATTAACTATGTGAATGTGATAAAACGTGAGTGTATTGAACAACTTTCTTTTATAAAAATAATAGAGCTTGGTATTGGTGGGATAGTTTTTCTCGGAATGGAAAGGTGCAGGCCGCGCTTTTACTTTACAATTATACTTATTACTGTTAACTTGTACAAGCAGTTTTTGCGCAAATATCTTGAAAACTGAGGCCAAGTGGAGGTAATAAAAATTAGACGTTGCTTATCGTGACGCTCTGCATCCTCGTTTATATAATTACCGAATTCTATCATTCCCGATAAATTATAATTATAATTAGCACCGATAATTACCGATGGACTTGCTGGTTTCGCAGAAGACCTCGCAGCTCTGGTATCTTTAGAGAAAACAAGCGCTCTAATAGAAAAAAAGCAAATGGCCTGTGACACCTTTAATGCCTACTATACAAATTCAGTTTAACCACATACATAGAAAATCACTCCAGTGGTTTAATCAGAACGGCCGAAAAGCTTGGTCTCGACGGCAGGTTATTCGAGCAACTTCTCTCGGTGCTTTCCTTAATCAAAACTTTTGCTATTTAACAAATGTTTTTATCCTTGTTTAATAATAAATATATGTATTTAACATGTTTAATAATAAATATATGTGTTTAACAAAATATAGAGAATAGTTTATTCAGTTAAGCAATTAATAACAAAAATGTACATTGTTCACTAGATCGTTTGCGACAGACTTTCGCATAGAACTCTCTACCCGCCTTCTTTCAGACTACCATCAGTCTACCCTTAACCTTTTGCGCTGCTATGTCGAACATGACTCAACAGTAGATTTATTCAAAAGTGTGACAACACAGAAAGTAATACAAAATTATGAAAAAGTAAATGTGAAATGAACTCGGAGTGCAAAGGGTTAAAAGCCCCACATATGCTGAAACACGTGGCGAGGCAAGCGGCGATTTCTAGGTTTTACAATGCAAGTTGAGACATACAGGGTGCAACCAGATTGTTGCGCACAAATGATAGGGCGCGTACAACTTACTAAACTGAATAAAAAAACCTCAGTGAACATAGGTACAAAACTTAAATAGTTTCCGAGATAAAAATAGGTTTAATTTAAAAAAAAATGTATGCATGAAATACTGTATGTCACGGTGGGAGGTATTTTATCGTGAGGTGACCTTGTAACGTCCTGCAAAGGTCACGTCACAATTCTTAAATAGAACCCCATATTTTGAAGACGCGTAAGGAAATTTTGCCTACGTGACAATGTCACCCAATGAAATGCACGTAGCCTGGGTGGGCGACGTGGATGTAACTTGACGCCGAAGGATCAACTCAATATCCGGTCAACGGAAAAGTGCGTCGCAGCTCTTGAAGGTGATAAGAATACTGCCGCTTCAAGTGTTACGGTATTTTCTTCGTGAATTACTTTACTTCCAAACTGGTACGGGCCATAGCCGGCGTAAAAGAGGGAGAAAGAAATAGACACGTTTTTTCTTAGCGTGACGGAATGCAACTACTGTATTTTGGGCCCTGGGCCCATTCTTATAGTGTTTTACAAATGATGGTAGCTATGTCACACTATGTATGAGTTAGAAGCACGTAACACGAGCCGGCATCGGATCGAGGATCACATTTATTAAGAGCCCTAATTTTGAATCGAACAGTCGTACGTTCCACACCTTTTGAAAGAGACATTCCCGACGTAGTCTTTAAGTATAATCCTGAATTCGCGTCTTTTGTATACAGATATATTCTATCCGGTAGTTTTAGTTCATTCGTTTCTATTACAGACGTTTCCAAATTAAAGACATGAAATTTTTCGCGTTAACCGTTGTCAAGATATTAGCATCCAAAGTTGTTGGTTTATTGATAGTGATGGTGACCGATGGACAGTGCGACTGTCGTAGGAGAGTAAAAGAACGCAATATTCGCGGTTCTTGTTTGTTGCATGATGAGTTTCCGTTTGAAAATGTGAATGACATCATTTGTCGATAGAAACGTGGACTCACAGCTGAGAACACAGTCATCGCAGTTGCTACCATGCATTCTATAGGCGTTTCACTCGCTCCAACGCATTTCAAGGTTGAGTTATTACGGAAATTTGTCGAAACTGAGGTATCACGGTTGCTCAACCGAGCATCCCCTTGCCCTTCTGTCATCAAGTTGAAAGTTAGACTGTTCGTGGGCCATAACCGCTATTGACGAACCGGAAACTTTGGAAGCTGATATTTTGATAACGGCTTACAAGAAAAATTGTATGTCTATGGTTCGGAAATGTTTGAATGTCGGCTTCAAAAATATGGAATACAAAATATGGTTAACTTTTGTTTGACACATTTGTTCGTATCACTGATACTTTTCGAAATGACTCGGCGTACTTGATTCTACACCTTGTATATGATTTATATTTGAACTGCAATAACAACAATTCCATAGAATATTTTCAGCGTTTAGAGGGGGCTGTAATGAACGACGTGGACAGTGAGGCTCATAATGTATCCAAAGTCGAAATCATCTAGTGTGATACCAGCTTTCTGAGATGCCAAATACAGCTTCTTCAGGTTGCTGCTGGCGGCGATTCTTTCGTACATTCGTCTGTACTTGTCTGAGATTACTTCATCGAAAAGGTCCATTAATAACCGGGAGTTGTTCCATTTCTCTTCGGACAGCGCCTGTAACTTTTCTTCTGGCAATACTTTGCGTAGATCATCCTGAAGGCCCTTAATACCACCGCTGATCTCGCGATAGGTGGAGGAAGGTGTGAAGGGGTTCAACTTCAGCGATCTATTCAGTTTGGTTATGCAAAGATAGATATCGATACCAGCGCTCTGTATATAGTTTGCCAGCTGCCAGATTTCGGGCATCTCTTCAATTTCCTTGATGAATGCCACTGAATCAGCTGATAATGCGATCCTCATCATAGCCTGCATTTCTTTGTCTTGGATAAGGTATGCTTTAACAATGTCAACAACTTCTGACATAGGAATTACATCCAGGTAATCTTGCAGCTCTTTGACGAGCTCACCTGAGCCTGAAGCTGGAATCTTGTAGGGGTGCACGGAGCTGACAACTGCCAGGACGGTTAAAGCTACCAATGCGAATTTCATCTGTGAAAGAAACAGCGAACATTTGTTGAACAATATGTAGAATTTCTAGTTAGGGTAAAAGTTAGTCTAACAAAGAAACCTTTCCAACCACTGCACGCCGATTGTGATAAAACTCATGTGAGAAATAATTCTCAAGATAATATTTGAAGGATGTAGCGCGCGAGTAGCGGTAGATACAATGTATCGAGATCGGAGGACGACGGGCAGGCTTCGGTGCGTTCGCGACGAAACAAAAATACGAACAACGTCAACGTGAGGGTAGATAGAGTCAGTCGTGTTGTAACATTGGCAAGAAGAACACCTCGTGCCTTTTAGCGTTTTTGTAAAATTTGTTGATTAAGTCTAGTGATTATACGTTACCCAGGGTGTCAGTACAGTGCAACCCCGATCCTACATATTTAACACGTATTTTTTCTTATCAGCCAACATCCACTTTGAACGAGTGAAACCATCTCTCAAACTTGAGGGTTGAAAGTATATTTTTTACAATATCTCTGAAACTAGGCAGTGCAGAAAAGAAATTTCCTTTTAAAAATGTTCGCCTCAACATGAACAGTTTTTAGATTTATTTTCTGCGCTCCTACTTTCAGGAATATTGTAAAAAATATATTTTCTACCGTCAATTTTAATGGTTGTTTTACTCGTTCACAGTGAATGTTGGTTGGTAAGAAAAAATACGTGTCGAATATTTTCTTGAGAACTATGTCTCGTATAAGTTTCAACAAAATCGGCGTATGCTGGGTGGAAACGTTCTTTTATAACTTGGAGTGGAAACCATCAATTTAAGAGTGAGTAGACCAAATGTTTGCGGAAACCATGGGTGCGAATGGAGGCTGCTTGGAACCGAGTGGATGGCTGCGTGTATGGTCCAGGGTATGTCGCCAAGGTTATGCACGGGACTTGGAGGTGGTCGAGGAAGTGAGCGAGAGAGTGAGAGCAAGAAAGTAAGAGAGTGAGATGGAGAGAGAGAATGAGTCAGGTAAACTGCAGGTCTGACGAGTGGCAGGCTACCTGCGGGCGATCAAGTCCAAGCGGCAAGACGACTTTTCCACTTGTGACGCATTGAAAATTTTCCGGACAAGTTCCACGTTCAGCCTATGACACAACCATAGACCATAGACAAAGGTTACTCCCCAAAAGTAGTATATAAGGAACCCGAATTTGTAGCATAAGCAGTCTTGTACCAAATCTCTGCACGAATAAATCGAGGTTCAACGAAACTACTTTCTACATCTTTTTCTCTGTCGAATAAGTGTGAAATAGTAAACCAAGAAGTTTTAAACTCTAGTTTGTTTATACGTGACACATTCACGATGTTCGGGTCGGCTTGGTCTTTGACGCGTGGTGGGTATTAGCCGCGTCGCAGTACCAAAGGGCAAAAGGAAGACGACAAGCAATGGAGTGAGATTTAACGATAAAAATCAAAATTGTAGTGTCGCCAGCTTCGTTTTCTATCGTTACATCTCACTTCGTTGCATGCAGTCCCGCTTTTGTTCTTTTTTGCTGTGACGCGGCCAATACCGATCACGGGTTAAAGATTAATGCTGCCATTTCATTAGAGCTGTACTTTATTATATAAGGGTGACAACCTTTGGACTTGAAGTTTCTCGAGAAATACCAGCTCTAAAAGCTCTAAAATTTTCAAAAATTTACAAAAATAGTAGAATCAATGAATTCACAAAGTTACCAAGGGCACAGTGGAACAAACACCACACAACACCACACCATAGACAACAAGGACACTACACCACACTTCAAAGTGAGAGTCAAAACCTCCAAACACACACAAGAAAAAATCAAAAATCTCGAATCACCACGAACTCTCAAATCTAATAAAAGAAAGAAATAGAGCGAAAAGAAAACTCCAAAAAATAGCAAGTCCCTACTGCAAACTATTAAAAAATATTCTAACCCACAAAATCAGAAATAGAATCCATTTCCTAAAAAACAGAGAATGGGAGAAAAAACTAAAATTCCTAAAACACAAAGACAACTCCCTCTGCAAAACATACAAAATGTTTAAACCTTCTGAATCAAAAATCCCTAACCTAGAAGATTCACAGGGCAAAATCCATATATCAGATGAGGAAAAAGCAAACGTAATAGCCAACTACTTTGCAAATATCCACAACAATATCTCCACCTTACCATCACTGTACGAAACACAAACAATCCAGCATACAGCTCACCTAAACAATGCAACTCCAGAAACCCTAACAATTATTACATCTCCCGACCAAATAAAAAACTATTATAGAAAACTCCATAACATGGCCACCTGGCCCAGATAAACTCTCAGCCATTAAACTAAAAAATCTACCAAATAAACTTATCTGCCAAATCTACTACGTATTTAGAACCTCTTTAAGACTATCTCACTTTCCTGACTTCTGGAAAATCGCCAAAATATTCCCAATCAAGAAAACCCTAAAAAACGGAAAATCACCCATCAGCCTTCTCAGTCTTCTAGGCAAAAGCCTAGAAAAGCTTATCTTCCAGGAAATAACTAAATATCTAAAAGCAAATAACACTATCATAAACGAACAATTCGGATTCAGATCCGAACACTCCTTCATGAAGCAGGTTATGAGAATAACAAATCTCATTGCAGCAGAATACAACAAAAATAGAACTTCTGTTATGGCCCTTTTGAACCTAGGAAAAGCTTTTGACAGATTATGACACGACGGTCTACTCCTGAAACTAAAAATTATACACACCCCTCTCATCTTGCAAAAAATTCTCAAAAGTTATCTAGACAATTGACACATCACAGTGTTAATAAAAGGCACCCCATCATCCAAATTATTAATAAAGATAGATGTCCCTTAAGGATCTATCCTAGCTCCCACTCTATTCGTAATTTATATAAATTCTTAACAACCCTAAAATACAAAGAACCCTCTTCGCCGATGACACAGTACTCCTAGCTTCCTCCTGGAATTCCAAGCAAGTAACAAAACAGCTCCAAACCCATTTAAATAAAATAATAACTTATTTCAGCAACTGAGAACTAAATTTAAACACGAAAAAGACGCAGACTATCATATTCGCCAGGAAAAAAATTAACATACAATCTAATAGTTTTAGGTAAACAAATCCTATAGTCCAACTCAATGAAATATCTAGGAATCCTTCTTAACAACAAACAACTATGGAACACAGCAATACAGAACAGAGCTAAAAAAGCAATTGCAACCTTTAGAACTCTTTACCCCCTCATCAATAAAAAAAGCCCACTTAGCTTTGCAAACAAAAAACTCCTATGTACAGTAATAACCCGCTCTACTTTCATGTACGAATACCAGGTATGGGCCCCAGTAGCCAAACTTCACATCCGAAAACTCCAAACCATAAATAATAAATTCCTCAGGCTAGTCCTAAACAAAACCAAAGATATTCCCATTGAAATCTTTCACGGACTACCAAATCTCCCCATAATCACAGACTATATCAAACACAACTCCAAAAGTGCCTATCACCTGCCTAAATCACCTTCATGAAAACTCACTGATAGCAGAAATAGGGAACTACACAAGGAAGATTACCGCCACAAAAAGAAAATCAAAACCCCAATACTGTTAATTTAACTAACAACAAATACTTCAGCACACATCACCACCACACAAGTGTAAACCCAGGAACTAGGAACCTCACAAAAGGGAAACAAACAAGGAAAAAAAAGCACGAGAGTCTTTGAGAGTCAATGAGAGAACGAGTAGTGTGTGTTAGCGAGTGTGATTTCAGAGTTCTATGAATAAATCTTGTTATTTGTTATCCCTTTGTCCTACGATTTATTTCTCTGCTATGATCGATACAACTACTTTGTTATTAATAATTCATTGCAAGAAAGATGAAAATTCTAGGCATATTTGATGCCTACCTTTACAATAAAGTATAATAATTGATAATAGAAGAATAATATTTCATTTGAATTTACAAGAATTGAGTAATATTTATGTTTACTACAAGTCTTACGCGTCATTATAGGACAAAGGATTAATCCGTGAGTTTTATTGTGAATTTTCACCCCTTTACTCCAGCACTACGTGGGATTTCTATAAATAATTCCTACATAATAAATATTTTATGAACGATGCCTTTTTCATTAGTGACAATATGATTCATATTGAGCTGGCACACAATTTAGAATAGAGACAATAAATGTTATACATTGTTAGTAGTGGCTAATAAATTGGCAGTCGCAATCTGTTCGTAATTCAAGTGTGTATGTCAAGCTCTTCAAAGCGTGCGCTGTTTATAGATTTTTTAAAAGTATGAATTATGTTCTATTTACTATGAATCAAGCAGTTTCAATGTTATATAGTTCAAAGCCATAAGACATACATAAACAATAACTCTGTGGTGATATGACTATTTAGAAGCACAGGTAACCCCCGCATAACACGGCACTTCTATAACGCGAATTGAGAATTGTGAAAAACCCTCATATAATATGGTATCTTAGAACACGGTTTCACTCTAACACGATTTGAGAATTAGAGAAATCCCCGTACAACGCTTAACGTTTTTAAGAGCAAAATTCGATATTAAAGAAATCCTCGTTCAACACGGAACGAAATAAGAGCTTTTAAGTCTGCAAAATATTTCATTGGAATTTATTTATTTGAACGTGTATGTCGTATCGATTTGCCTGCAGAGTTTTGAAATTTATTAGAATTTCAAATCTTATTTTGTTCGTGGAGTATTAAGTACATTTTAAAACTTTGAGTTTTCTTTTTATTACATTATATATAGATTAGAATTTTTCAGGTACGTATTATTAAACCTTTTTCAGAAATGGTAATTATACTTTCCTAATTTTTAGAACCTAACTCCCTTTTTGCGCTAGTTCTTTATTTCATATAACACGGAATCGCACAACACGGCGTTTTTTAGGAACGTAACAATTATGTTATACAGGGATTACTTGTAATAGCTCAACAAGCGTCTTTCGTTACTCACTTTGGGTTTGCTGAAATTTACGTCGCTGAATCTCGGAGGAACTGGATGCCATATCCATCAATGCTGTGATTTATATACTGCACAAAGTTTATCAGTTCTAAGCGGTATCAGCTGAACTTTTTCTTTGTATTACGTCACACTGAAATGCTGTTTACCATGAATTACTAAGAAATATACTTACCGCGACTCGCTACCACAATGCCATTTATATCGCTCTTATCGTTACTTGTTACCAGGACCGTTGATATTCTCGTCGTCGTCATTATTAGTATAAAATAATGCAAGAATTGCACATTTTGAATAACTTTTTCCTTTGAAAAACATTCTGCTGATATTTAGTTTTCGACATACTCGTGAAAAACTTTTGCTACTCTCAATAACTTGTAAAATATGCATGTAATGAAAAACTGTTTAAAGAAAAGTTGTATGGTTTGAAAGGATACATTATGTAATGCATACATTTTTTTGGTAAGTAGAGGCGTTTCGGAGATTTGAAAATCAACTTTGCTTTTTTAAATGCAATGCAATATTTTGTATACCAAAATATCGAAGAGCGTTAAATTTTGAGTAAAGAGGTATTAACCTTTATTAGCCGTAAACCTAATAATGAACGAATAATTTCACTTTGTTTCTCGAAAATGATCTATGTGTAATATCAAGTTGGGAATTCAATATCAGTAAAGATTTCCGGAAGACCGTGAAGTTTCCGTGGCAATGTTTATCAACATGACCGATTCTACGTATAGAATCGTCATCGACTTTTTTGTCCTTGATTCAGTGTTAAAGTTGTCATTAATGTTTGTACGATACTGTTTCAGTAAGATAACCGCAAATATTTTATTAATGGACGATTGACGGGACGAAACTATTCGAATTTTTTATGAGATATTTTACCAGTTTCATTAGAAAATGTACGATCAAATATCCGCAGAGACTCTGGTACCAACATGATGTTTGCCCTGCATATTATAGACATGTAACAAGGCAAGTACTGGAAAGACAATTCCCCAATCTATCGTAGTGAAGAATTTCTGTGGTACACCAGATCTGACACCGTTAGACTACTTTCTATGGGATACATTAAATGATATGATGTATCGTGAATGAACAACAACACCAGAAAATATGAAAAAACGAATTCGTGAACCATGCAATATGCTTGCTGCAGAAATAATGCAGAGTACTGCTTCCTCGTTGATTAGTAGATTACAACAGTGTATTAATATGAATGGACACCATTTCCAACATCTGCGTTAGTGAATGGAAGAAGCCCTACAAAAATCTTTGCTGCTATTGAATTTCCAACTTTATATTACGCTTAGACCATTTTCAAGAAATAAAGTGAAATTATTCGTTCATTATTAGGTTTACGGCTAATAAAGGTAATTATCTTTTTACTCAAAATTTAACGCTTTCCGAAATTTTGGCATACAAAATATAGCACTGCGTTTAAAAAAACGAAGTTGACCTTTATACCTCCGAAACTCCTCCACTTACAAAAGAAATACATGCAGTACATAATGCATGCCTCTAAACCATACAACTTTTCCATAAAAAGCTTTTCAGACAATGCATACTTTGGAAGTTATTGAGGGTGAACAAGTTGCGTGGGTCACCTTGTATCTGAGCACGCCCGTCCGTGAATCCAAAATTAAATTTTCAAAGTATGCAGCAGCGTCATGTATTGACTGCTTACAGAGATGTAGACCGTCAAATTTGACGAAATTTCAAGCCCCTTAATATCTCCAAAATTCGAGCTCCTTTAATGTACCAGGTTAAATTTTTCTTAACAAATTTGTTTGATTCGCCATTTTGAATTTTGCATTTTTGACAGAATAGTCAGATTTAGGAACTCTAAAAATCTAAGTGTTAATGTGTAATATAGGTCAATGGACCAAAGAAGATGTTTATTTTATCTATCTGGTTTGTAAGACCAGATATTTTTTGTAACTTGGTTACACTGGCGTACTGAGTAATTTTTAAATAATTGACAAGGCTTGGCTTGATTTATCGGACTGTGTGTCCCTTTATTTTCTTGTTGATAACACTTATCCTAATACTATGATGATGCTGTGATATCGCTGTCTTGATAAACTCTGGCTAATTTGTACAATCGAGCGTGTCTTATACTAATTGTGGAGATGAGGGTGTGTACTGTTTCATGTGCATGTTGAAAGTGGGAAATATTTTCGTCCAATGAAGTTGTTGAGGGTTGAATCTGCTGTCTTGTGGTCACGCCTTGTAGGGTAAGTCGGATAGGTCAAGTCAGGTATCGTCAGTAGGAGTGAGGAGTACCGTTAGGGTATCGTGAAGCTAAGCCGTCCTTTGTGTATTGAAAATGTTTTAATTTGTTTTTTATGGTGTGTCAAATGGTTAGGGTTTTATTTAATGTGTCCGGGCCTTTTTCTCTATCGTTGTAAAAGCTAAGTGTTCCTTGACTATAGAAATGCAAACGGAACGGTGAGGGTTATTGCTTAATTGTATGTATTCTTAACACTAAGTATACCAACTTTTATAAAAGTCGCATGAAATTATGAATTTTGGCCAGTTTTTCGTCAAAAAGCACCACTGTAAGACGTTCACTCACGATGCTCGGTCCGCTAGTAATGGCATCAGTGACGCCTCAGTTTCGTCACGACCTTGTTCTTGGCCGCGTCACGCACAAATAACGTAAGCGAAACAGAGTGCGATGAAGTGGAAATGTAACGAACATTGGCGCCGGATTTCGTTTCGGCGCGACGCACAATGTGGCTACTTGTAGACAAAATCCAAAAATTCGCATATTCACATAACGTAAATTGAAGGTTACCAATCTGTTGCTAAGTACTGCCTGCTATACAAACTGATTTTTATTTCAAAAATTATTTTAAAAAGTATTTATACTTTCATCTTGTATTCATTGTTAAATATATTTATACAGATTTTTAATAAGGGAAAATATTCTCCGAAGCATGTAGCTCTGATTTCACATAATTTTGTGCAAATAAATTCCGTTCTTCTATTTATATAACATTGGAATTGAGACGCAAAGTATCCATTGTCATTTAAAAACTTCATAGGATCCTTATAACGTAAAAAAAATATAACCACCATATGTTTAGCTCTATGTCTTGCAGCTTTTGTCTAAAGCATTTTTTCTACTCATACTTTTTAAGTTATTGAGTTCTGTACAGAAAACAGGCTTCGGAATGTTGTAGAAGCCGATGTTTACATCGACTTTTTCCTCTGACAAGATAATAGAGATTGGTATTGCTATTGGTTGGGGTAGTTTTTTCTTATCACTTGTACTTTATTATTGCCAAACAACCGCCGTATTCAGACTAAAAGAATTGTTGACAATTACGAAGTGAAAGATCCCTCCACCCAAAGAAACTACCACGACCAATACCAATATCAATCTCTATTACTTTTGTTATAAGAAAATTATGATGAAAACATCAATTTTTACAATATCCGGCATTTTTGCGAAAATTTGTGTTATCACTGTAGTTTCTGTTCTATACAATTCACCCATTATATCTACGAGCCTGATTTGCCGCAACACGTTCATAGAAACGGCAGATAAATAGCCGCCTCATGCTGACGTACATCTCCCTCGGATTTTTTAAAATTATTTCTGAAACTAAAATCGAGTCAGAATTATATTTAGTTATAATTTATATAGGAAAAAGTTGCTTAGAATTACGTTCCCGATAACATAGCCAAAAATCATAGAAATAGGTTAAATTTAAAATGCTAATAAACGGTATATACAGTCTGTACCTTAACAAAGCTTCGGTTTAGAGCGGTCAGTTCAATAATTTTGTTAAACATAAAAAATCATCCCGAAAACATTTTCAAATTAACACTATCTTATTAAATTCAATGTTCTAATTGCATAAATTTTGCCAAAGGTTGAAAAGTTATCAATTTTTACAAAAATTGCAGTATTGCGTTTAGGTGTTACGTTGTCGAAACACGCAGAAGGGTTTTCATAAAAATGGTTTGATTCTTGTCCCGATTGCAGAATGACACACAGCGAGATGTTTATGTAAAAATAAAACGCTTTATTGTAACTACACGGATTTTGAAGATTTTTGTACAAAATTCGGTTTCGCGACATTTGTGAAAGTTGTGCGCTTGTGGAGTTCTGTCTGTCGAGAGGTCACGTAGCGTACTGTTTGGTTCTCGCAGTCTTATTTCATGTAAACTTGGGTTTTTTAGGATCGGTCAGTAACAGTTTTGGATGGAGGAAAGTTGTATTTTGTCATTGGTCGCGAGTGTGTCTATTTTATGTCTGAATTGCGGAGTGTTCCCACACCTGGTCTGTAATTATAGATTATCCGCTGCACTAAATAATTATAGATTAAGTCGCTGCGCTAAGTGCTCGGCACGTTTCTTCGCTATCGATTTGTTTATGATTTGAGACGAGTAAATCGGATGTGACACTAGGATTACATGCTTAAGCTTAAGGGGAGGTTTTCCTGAAGGTCAGAAGGACCGAGATGTGGGTGTGAAGTGAGGACCGTCGTTAGTCTGCAAAGAACAGTCGGTTTAAGCGTATCACAGTAGTTTCACAAACAGTTTCATACATAGATTTACATGCACTTAAATTACATACAGGAAACGCAGAACCAGAGTGTAATAATTTATAGCTATTATACTGCGTTTGTGAAAAATGCGATGGTATTTATTGGTATGTGGAATCGAATTACAGGTGTTGAATTTGTTTTGTGTGATTGAACTAATTTGTACCTGCGTGAGTGAGTTGTTGATGCTGTGCGACAGACTCTTGAAAATGAGACTGAATATCGATGCTGTGTAACTGTTCTTGACATAGTGTTCTCTCTGTTGAGAGTTGTGCTGATTGCTTGCGACTTGTGGTTTGTCGTGTGACTGCTTGCAATCGCGTCAAGCAGGTCCCGTTAGACCGTAGAAGAGTGGGCCTGCTTGTACAGTGGAGGAGTGCGCCCGCACGCAAAGGATGGTGCTCTAGCGGCGCTCGACTATCTGGATTGAGAGTAATCCTCCCTTAACCACAAATAATTGTAGCCAGAAGCCACAACCTCTCGGTCTGGAAATCCTGTGCTAAGGTTAGCATGATGTTTGAGTGAGAATATCCCTTATGACTCAGGAACGAATCGAGATGCAGGAAATTTCTAGCT